CCCCCCATGGCCCCCCCTGATGCCCCCATGACCCTCCCTGGTGGCCCGCCCTCCTCTCTCTGTCTTCCACAAAAACTCTCTTCCTGTTGGCTCCCAGCCAGGCACCACTTCATCTGCTCTGCCAGCATGTAGGGACGCCTACTGTATACTGCTGTTGTGTTCAACATTCAGACACACAGCTTCTGTCTTCACCATCACAGGCATCATTCAGGCTCCTTACACAGGACGGAATGGGGGCCCAGAGAGGTTAAGACACTGGCCCAAGGTTGTCCAGCGAGTAGGGCCACTGGAGAGGTGGCGCGGTGGCCGGCTCTTCCCCTCTGCCTGGGCACCGGTGGCTCGGGGAGGCTCCGGTTAGAGCCAGGAGGCCTCAGGTCTCACCCACCCCATCGTTCAGAAGTTCAGCGACGTCTATGAGTCCCCACTGTGTGCCAGGCCCGGGGTCACAGGCCTCTGGCGGCCAGCCCCAGGCTTCACCCGTGGTGGCCCTCCGTGAGCTCTGCTGACCGTGCCTCTCCTTGTCTGGCCAGCGGAACTGGACCAGTACGTGTTCCAGGACTCGCAGCTGGAGGGCCTGAGCAGGGACCTCTTCAGTAAGTGGGGAGCGTCGGGTCCCGGGAGGCAGCACGTTCCTGAGCCTCCCCAGTGGAGCACGGGAGGCTGCCTGGGCCTCCGCTGACCGAGAGAACTGGTCTCTGCTTCTTTCAAGTGGAACACATAGGACTGGACGGCGTGCTCGCTGAGGGCCTGGACGTGCCGGCAGAACCAGGGCCAAGGAGCCAGAAAAGACGTGAGTGAGCCCCTTCCTGCCCTCCGTGTCTCCCACCAGCTTCCCCGGTTAGGCCCTACCTGGGCCTGGGGTCCCTGCCGGTTCTGCACCTGACCTCGGCAGAACTGGGTGGAGTCCTGAATCTGCTGTGCTGTGTGACCTGGGCCAAGCGCCTGCACCTCTCTGAGCCTCTCTTTTCTTTTTGGGGGTGCCAGAGTTGAACCCAGCCGTGCTCAGCCACTGAGCCACATCCCCAGCCTTTTTAAACATTTTGTTAGAGTCAGGGTCTCTCTGAGTTGCTTGGGGCCTCGCTAAGTTGCTGAGGCTGGCTTTGAACTTGCGATCCTCCTGCCTCAGCCTCCGGAGCCACTGGGGTCGCAGGCCCCATGGTAGCTTTTCGCATGCAGATCTGGTCGTCTGGGCCCTTGCAGACCCTGCAGGGTGCTCCAGCTCCCAGCTCACCAGGAGCTACCACAGGCCAGACCCTGCTTCTCTCCACCGGGGCCCCAGGCCTCCCCAGCCTCAAGGCCTTGGCCCTGCCTGTCCCCCTCTCTAGAATGTCCCTCCTCAAACCTTGTCCCCTGCAGCCCTGCCCCCTCCACCGCCTCCCTGTCTGCTCTGCTAGATGGGATCTGGGAGGGACTGGCCCCCGAGGCTGTCCAGCTCCTCAGGCTGTTCCGAGCCCTGTCCTGGCTGGGGCCACACCTCCCTGGGCCTGATGTCCTTTGTCCTCTCCGCAGCTCTCTCAGAAGAGCACCCTGCCGACCTGAAGCACAGGAAGCTCGGTGAGTGGGCAGGGGGCCCGGGGGTCCTGGGGCAGGGGCGCTGGGGCCCCTGCAGGTGCCCGTGCAAACCTGCATTGACAACTGAGGTCCAGAGAGGTGAAGTCACCTGCCCGAGCCCACACAGCTAGCGGGAGGGGGAGTGGGATTCAAGCAAGACCATGACGGGTGAGGGCTGCTGGGAGAACACTAGGCCTCTTCCACTCCCTCCCTCCCTCCACCCAGCTGCCCTGGGGAAGGCAGCGGCCAGCCCCGGAGGGCAGAGAGGGAAGGGTCCTGTCTGATGGCGGAGGCCCCGTCCCCACCCTCAGAAAGCCCCCCCCCCTCATGGAGACGGGGTCCTGCCCACGGGGACCGCAAGACGATGGGACGTGGTCTCTGTCCCTAGGGAGCCGGGTGCTCCAGGGGCCCTGCCTTCAGACAGCGTCCAGTCTCACGGGGTCCACCCCTGCCCTCTGGACCCTCATTAAATGGAGATTAGCCGCTGTCCCCTCTGACGGGCGCACGGTGACCCCTGCCCTTCTCTGGGGTCCAGCGCCCACAGACTGTTCCCGGATCTCAGTGGGGGCCTCTAGGGTCCGGAGCCCTGGAGGACCGGGAACTGCCTGCCCAGCCCGCCCACAGCCGGGACCCGCGTGTCCCTAACTGCCAGGGAGGTCCCCCGGCTCCAGATGCCTCCCAGCCCGGGCAGGGCTCTCCCGGAGCCACGAGGTCCCCTCCTAACACAGCCCCCTCCCCACAGCCGAGGCCCCTGCTGTGCCCATAGTGACGGGCAGTTTCCTGGTGGGACCAGTGAGTGACCCGGTCACCCTGCCTGGCCTGCCGGCTGCTCTGTACCACCAGGAGCCAGTGTCCAGCCAGATCCACCCGGAGAAAGCTGTGCAGATGCCCGGTACGTAGGGGACCAGGGAGGGTGGGCTTCGCCCTGGGATGTGGGTGAGCAGAGGCTGGGCAGGGGGCCCTAGTGTCACCCACTGCTGCCGCTGCCCAGGGTCCCATCTGAGTCCTGCCGGAACACGTTCCCGGGCAGGAAACACGTCTCTGGGAGGCCCGGGGGGAATCTCCACCACTGGGGGTCACTGGCCAGTCCTCTGCCTGGACACCTCCTCACGGAGCACCTGGTCCCGACCCCTGCAAGACAGGCCAGCTGCTGCTCTCAGGGAGACCAGAGCCCTTTGGGAGGGTCACCGGACAGTCCCGGGACAGGGGCTGGGAGGGCCCACTGCCCGCCTTTGCCTCTTGCAGAGCCTCCCGCCACGGCCTCCGTGAGCTGCCTCCACCTCCCTGCGGGGCCCATCCAGGTCATCTCCACGCTGCCCACACTGCCCACGCTGCCCACGCTGCCCCAGGGGCTCTGGCCCATCTCGGGCGCCGGCACCGGCCTGTGCAGCATATTCATCTGCCACGGTGAGTGTGGGAGGCCTGGCCCGGCCACCCCCTCCCCTGACGGCCCTGCCTGGTCCTCCCCTGGCTCTGGGGGTGGTGCGGTGCCCTCTGGCCTCCATCCTCACTTGGAGCTCCCTGCAGCAGCTGGAGTGTGACTGGGTGTGGCCCTCTGCCCTCCCTGTGCCACCTTGCCAAACAGGAAGAGGTGCACACGGGAGCGCAGCGCTTCCCTCCTTCAGTGTGCCCCTGGACTGTCTGGTGCACGTCCTTACACGGCTGTCTCCCATGGTCCTTGCTGGGCCCGCCGTGCTGTGGGGTGGTGGACAGGCCCAGGGAGGGCCGCCAGGGCTCGGGGTGTGGCGGGAGGGAGCCTCTGCTCCAGTCAAGGGCATCCTGGTCCTGTGCCACCAAGGTCCCGGCATCTAGACGGGGCCCCAGAGCTCAGCCTAGCTTCATCCTGAAATGTGTCCTTGGAAGTCCCCCTTCTTCTCCCCGGACATGCCGGGCTCCAGCGCCTGCCTCGGGGCAGGGGCGGCCCAAGTGGGTTTCCGGATAGATCCCTCACCCCTCTCCACCTTCGACGCAGGTGAGACGCCCCTGACCAGCCAAGCACCACCTTCCAGCGGCCCTGCCGTCCACAGCCTCCCCAAGTCCCCGGACCGGCCCGGCTCCACCAGCCCCTTCGCTCCCTCTGCCGCTGACCTGCCCAGCATGCCCGAGCCGGCCCTGACCGCCCGCCCAGGTGGGACAGGCAAGGACCCCTGGGCCCGTGAGCACCCCAGAGGCTGCTGAGGCCCCGGGAAGAAGCGTCCTCAGCATGGCCCCCGTCAGAGCCTCCGCGGGGCTGGCCAGTCATGTTCATGGGCCAGCGAGGCCAAGGCCAGGGCCCCAGGGGGGAGGGGCGCCGTGCAGGCAGCAGGGCAGTGGAGAAACCCCGTGCAGCAGGGACCAGACCCAGTGTGGCCGGTCCCCGGAGCTGGAGATCCGGTTTCTATGTGGACACTGGGAATCTCAAAACACTGGGGACATCTTTAAAGGTACAGCTGTCCAGGGCCCGGGGGCGGTGCCGTGGTAGGGCACTTGCCTAGGACACGCAAGGCCCTGGGTTTGATCCTCAGCCCCACACAGAAATGAATAAAATAAAAGATCCACTTACAACTAAAAACAGAAAATAAAAAAGGAAGACATAGGCCTCTGGCCACCATCTTGTAACCTCAACCTGGGGACTTGGGACTGAGGACCGAGTGGCCCAGAGAGAGGGGAGTCCTTGGGAGCTCCCCAACTCTAAGTGACGCTGGCTTTCCCATCTCCAGAGGACCAGAGTTCCCCGTGCCAGGCAGCGCCAGAGGTCTCCCCTGAGCTTCCAAAATGGCCTGGTGAGTGGCGGCGGCGTCTCTGGTCCTGGTGCTAATGGCTTCGACCATCCATGCCCCGTGTCTTCGGCCCTGTGCTGGCTCGCCCCCTGGGTCGCTCTCTCGCTTGATGCTGCCATGGCCACCATCCCTCCAACGATAGCTTGGGAGCCACCTCTGGGGGACCTGCCCCTGGGGAGGCCCACATCCCTGACAGCCACCTAGTGTGAGGCTGGGACTGCGGCCCAGGGGTACGTAGTGGGCTCAAGTCACACGGGACAGGAACGCGCACACGCAGGCTGCCGTCCTCCCCGGACAGGGAGGGAGCAAACATGACTGAGGGAGGGCAGCCAGGAAGGGCCTCGAGAACCCCAGTGCTCAGGGGCTGTGCAGGGCCGTGGCAAGTTCCAGGTCCGGGGCCACTTAGACCCAGTCGCAGAATAGAACATAGAAAGGGCTGGGATGTGGCTCAGGGGTAGAGCTTCCCTGGGCTCCGTCCCCAATAATGGAAAAAGGAAGGAAGGGAGGGAGGGAGGAAGAGGAAGAGGAAGAGGGAGGGAGGGAGGGAGGAGGAAGGAAGAGGAAGAGGGAGGGAGGAAAACGGAGGGAAGGAGGAAGAGGAAGAGGAAGAGGAAGAGGGA